TCCTTAGAAGCCAGGATGGCCACACTTCTCTTATACATCAGACATTAGCAGGAGGGGCCAGTCCCTGGAGAAACACATCATGCTTGGTAAAGTGCAGGATCAGCGAAATGGGGGAAGGCCCCCCAACAAGATCGATTGACACAGAGGCATCAATAATATGCTCAAGCTTAACAATGATCCTGAAGGTGGTGCCAGACTGGGCAGTGTTGTTCTGTTGTGCATAAGGTTGTTATGAGTCAGAATTGACTTGATGACACCTAACAACAACCTAACAACATGTGGAGAACAATAGTGTCACACTTTGGTATTGTTGTTTAATAAAGATTTTGTAGCAATACTTTCTGATGCACCCTCGTATTTTATTCTGGTGAGAATACACACACACAGTTCTTTGATGGTGACCACACACTCCACATGGTGTTGTCATCTTGCTGTATTGTCTCATCACTGTTCTCTTAGACTCTAACCCTGGAAGCTCCCATCTGTGTTTCCAGGTCATTGTCCTGTAGTCTCATCAGGTAACTCCTGACAGAAGAGCAAGGCTGGGGCACATCCTGTATGACATGAGCTACCGTGTGCCATTTAGTCTCAGTTCCTGTCTCTTTCAGAGACCCCACCCTCTGGGATTAGGATCGGGCCCCCTCCTCTAGAATGGTCTATGCTAACAGACAGCATCTCATAGGATTGTTTCCAAACAGTGTGGAGACTTCAGCATGTCTTTCTGGGGATACATTCAACCCACAACAAGTAATACCCAACCGCAGGATGAAAGGCCATTTCCTGCCCTGTCTTTCTCAAACTCTACACGGGGTGTAGCAAACATGACTGTTCACTTCCAAAACGTCCTCAGCACCCAAAGAGAAACACCATCTGTCCGCACTAACTTCCTGTGTCCTCTCCCTGAGCCCCTGAAAACTGCTAATCTGTTTCCTATTTCTATGCCATCGGTGTTCTAGTGTTCATGCATGTGGAATCACATAGTAACTGTTCTGCCATGTCTGGCTTCTTTTACTAAGCATGTATGCAAAGTTCATCTATGTCGCAGTGTATGCCAGCTTCAATGCTTCTTTCGACAAAGTACTGCTCCATTATCTAGAAGGTTTTTGTTTCAGGTTGGAGACGATTCTCCCGTTCTGTTCCCAGTTCATCATATTTGTAAGGATGGGTGCCGGAATAGCCGGTAGAAACCATGAAAACAACAAAGTAACAACAGTTAAAACAGCCAAAGACATTCATCTGAAAAACAACACAATTATCACAGGAGCCTCACTCTCCCCATTTAACAGACCAGATGTTG